CTGCAACTACAACTACAACTACAACTACAACAGGGAGGACCCGGTCAAGTCCTTGCTCCAGGTGTAAGGTAGTCGAGAGGCGCCAGAGACCAACTCAGTCAATTAGAGCAAACAGGCTTTATTGGGGAGAAAAACCCAGCCTGGGTGAAGTCCCACGGTCCACAGTGTCCGGGCCAAGGGAGTCACACTCCAGACTACAGGAGTGGTGTTTATATGGCCAGGGAACGTGTGACTGGGCTGTCTTGAGTCCACATAAGGTAAAGTAGTCAGGAATTGGGAGATATAGGTATGTCCGGGTTTCTGGAATGTAAGGTGTCTTCCTGGTTCTGGGTGTATTTGTGCCGGGTGCCGAGCGGGGGTTCAAGAACAAAGCGGGCACTGAGCCAAACAGGCTGTGAACAAAACGGGCTGTGAGTAAAAGAAAGAAAAAAACTTGCAAAGCTGCTTTACATTAGCCAGCTCTGGTCAGCTCCACAGGTGTGTGTGGGAGATTCAGAGCCACTTGCTGCCAGTTGTTTCAGTCAGCTCTGGTCAGCTCCGCACAGGTGGGGGAGATTCAAGGTCACTTGCTGCTAAAAGCCGACCTGGTATTGATCCGGCCATACACCAGGCACCCCAGCTGGAGGCAGCACAAGACTTGGTCCCACTTTTTCCTTGCTTGGTCGGGCCTAGCTGTCCATTCTTGCATGCATTAGTAAGCCTCCCCTCTTTCCCCCAGTGTTTGCTTCTCCTCCAGGGCTCTGAACGTCATCTTGGGCATGCAGGTCCTCCCTGTTTCCCGTCCCTTTCCATCTGATGGGTAAACCTCGGATTCTCTGAGCACTAACTGACTGAGCTTCCTCTGGAAAAGACCTCCAGGCAACTTAATAGCCTGCAAGCGATCATGTAAGGGGCAGCTACTGTTTTCTCCTCAACGGGAGCCAGGAAGGGTGAAGGAATCTACAGACGGAGAACAGGGAAGCAGTTAGTGTGTGAGAGCCTCAACCTTCACAACCCTGAATCCAGAAGAACTACCCTTTTCCCCGAAATTAAGACGGTGTTTTTGTTTTTGTTTTTTTGTTTGGTTTTTTAATCAATTTATTGGGGCTCATACGATTCATCACAATACATAGATCAATTGTATAAAACACATCTATACATTTGTTGCCCTTGTTATTAAGACGATGTTGTATATTAATTTTTGCTCCCAAAGATGCGCTAGGTCTTATTTTAGGGGATGTCTTATTTTTCCATGAAGAACAATACGGTACACATTTATTGTTTCATTAAAAGAGACCTTGCATTTCCTGTCTGCTCCGCTGCGCTGCAGCCAACAGCGAGCTGCATGGCGGCGCCCACCGCTATGGTCCAGAGTCCAGAGTTATGGTAGCTTCAGCGGGCCTTATTTTCGGGGGGGATGCCTTATATTTCAGCGAGAGGCAAAACTGTAAGCAGGTCTTATTTTCGGGGGTGTCTTACTTTCGGGGAAACAGGGTAGCTGGTGCCCAGCTACCACTACTGTGTATTCTGATCAGGACTATAATAGAAGGTCCTAGACAGAGTGGGAGGAAAATGTGGAACAAAACTCAAAATCATTTTTTAAAAAGGGGGTGGGAGGCCAGATTCCCTGGCCGGACAGAGACTGGTGGGAGCTCCAAGACTACAGTCCTGAGACACCCTTCAAACTTGGAACCAAGCCCATCCCTCGCAATCCGTCAAGCAATAGACAGCTCTATAAAGGGAAGGACTGCAATCCCCGGAGAAATCCATCATAAGAGGCCAAATGGACAGCAATTGCCGCAAACACAGCTCAGACGGCAGGAAGGAGCAAGAAAGAAGACTGCGTGGAAATGGGGGTCACAGGGAGAAAGGAGGAAAAGTGTTGTCACATTGCATTGGGGGATTGCAGCCGGTGGCATGAGACAGAATGTATACAAATTATTGAATGGAAAACTAATTTGCTTTAAATGTTCACCCAAACCACAAAAAGAAAAATTTTTAAATAAGATAAAATGCCCCCCAGTGTATACAAAAAGTCATGGAAAAATTCCCTTATCTTTTCGTCCCATTTTCCCATGGCCTTTTTGAAGCCTCCTCATACATCACTGTTCACTGACACACTATTCCCAAGAGCAACTAGACCAATCAACAAGCTGTAGTCCGTATGTTCAAAGGACTATTATCCAACTATAGAGAGAAGTAACATTCTGATAACCACATGGATGAGCCTAAGAATATTATGTTAAGTCAGACACAAAAGGGTACATATTATATGATCCCATTTATAGGCAAATCCTTCAAGACAGTGGTTACCAGGGGCTGGGAGAACCCAGGTTACCAGGGACAAGGGGAAGGGCAGAAAAACTCCAGGCATTTAACAAGGGTAAAACAAAAACCCCCACCTCATTGTCATAGAGCCGATTCCAATGCATAGAGACTCCATAGGAAAAGGTAGAACTGCCCCTGTGGGTTTCCAATACTGTAAGTCTTTATGGGAGTAGAAAGCCTCTTTCTCCCACAGAGCAGCTGGTGGTTTTGAAGGGCTGCCCTTATCCTTAGCAGACCAACGTGTAACCACTATGCCACCAGGGCTCTTTAACAAGGGTCAGGCCTCTAGAATTAAACATTGTAAGAGTAGACTTTCAAGCATTTAAAAATAAGTGCACTGAGAACATAAGATCTTCTTGGGTCCCTGGGAAGTATGTCACAAAGCCTAACTCCCTGCCATCGAGTCAATCCCAACTTACAGTCACTCTAAAGGACAGAGTAGAATTGGCCCCGGGTTTCCAAGTCTGCAAATCTGTATAGAAGCAGAAAAGCCCATCTTCCTCCTGGTGAGGGGATGGTGGGCTGGAACTGCTGACCTTGCAGTTAGCGGTCCAATTCTTCTTCATGGCCAAGTACGCCTTTCTAGGCTGGGGTGTTCACATCAGTATGAAGCCACCTTTTCCTTTTCCTGTATTTCTCTGCTGAGGATTAGGAAACTGAAGCTCAGAAAGGACAGTGACCAGCCCAGAGTTCAGCTAGCTAGTAGGTGCTGGCGGCAAGATTTGAACCCAGGTAGCTGCCTCCCTCTGCTGCCTCCTCTGAATGACGTCAGCGATACCTGGCAGGTCTGGTCGCCTCCACTAGCGGACCTGTGTTTGTAACCCAGGTGGGTTTTGTCTTCTGATGCTGTAGGCAGTGATTTCTTTGCGACTCATGCAAGTGCGGAGGAGCTCTGGTGGTTAGGTGGGTTATGCGTTGTGCTGCTAACCACAAGGTTGGCGGTTCACACCTGCCTCTCCCTGGGAGAAAAAACAAGGCTGTCTGCTTCTCTAAAGATGTACAGCCTCAGAAACCCAAAGGGGGCAGACCCACTTTGTCCTATAAGGGTCACTGTGATGGCAGTGAGCTGGGTTCATTTAATGCATATATATCTAGTTTTTGGGGAGACGGGCCAGCCAGCAAGAGGCATTGGCAGGAAGATGGTAGAAGGGGGGTACTGATCAGCTGTTTCTCGATGTTTCCTCCAGCCCTAGGATTCGGTACTGTGACTTTTTATCTATCATTCACCACAGCATGATGGAGCCTTTCCCTGACATGAATTCTTGCCTCCTGCCTAACCCCTAGTTAAGAAGGCTGATTAAGTTGGAAGCGGTCACGTGGGGGAATTAATTTGTCTTGCCTTGGCGCCTCCAGACTCAGAGGATGAAAATGCAAATCCCCAAAGACCAATGCCTGGATGGCTTTAATCTGCTGGAGTTAGAACTCCAGCCTTAGAGGGATTTACAAGAAAGAACAATATTCCCCAACGCTTGGGTCATGTTCCTCGCCATGCACCACAGACTGCGCTCCGCTTCAACACAGCGCTCGTGTTCTGCCCTGGGGAGGAAGGTTCTGTAAGCAGAGCTCTCTAGTTCTATCGCCTACTGGTCTCCCAACCCTCCTGGGGATCGCCCCCCCACAAGCTCACCGGCCAAGTTCACCACCACATGACAGGGGGCCACGAAGAGGGTTTGGTTAGAGGGCACAGTGGAAGTAGATCGTCCTTTGAAAACCAGTACAAAACTGCCCGTGGAGCATGAGGCCAATGGTAGGCAATCTTCCGGGCTCTCTCGTCAGCCACGTGCGCCCCAAGCTCGCTGACAGACAAGCACACCGATCAGGGAACAGTGTGGCTGCAGCAGGCGCAGAGCGGGAGGGGCAGCCCCGCAAGGCCTCTGGAAGAGGGTAGCTTTCACCAGCCAGTTACTGTGGAGCCCATTCTGATGCGTGTGTCAGAGTAGAACTGCCTCTGGATTTCTGCGGCTATTAACCTTCACAGGAGCAGAAAGCTTCATCTTTCCTCCCGAGGAGGAGCGAGTGGTGGGTTTGAACTGCCCACCTTGCACATGACCCACTATGCATGTGCCCAGGGCTCCTCTTCACCAAACCCACCCCAACGGAAGTGTGTCCAGAGTCGAACATTGCCCCTTAGCATTTCCCATGGCTGGGTTTTCAGAAGAGATAAATGGCCAGATCTTTCTTCTGAGGCCCCTCTGAATGGACTGGAACTGGCAACCTTTGGGTTCCCAGCCGAGTGCATGAACTGTTTGCACCGCCCAGGGCCCTCGAGCTGGCACAGGAGACAGGATTTCGGTAAACTGGGGTGTGTTTCAACCAGAATCCCCAATCTGGACTCCTTCTGTGAGAACAGCCGCTAGGGCTGGAGATGACAGGCCCTGAGGGCACTCCCACCCCCCTTCCTCCAATGCGGACCACGCAGCACTCCTGCTGGACCCTAGACCTGTCACCTCCTGTGCAGCCTTGAGCTGCCTTCCCAGTAAGGCTCGCTCTAGAACGTGGCCTTCCCCAGCGAGGCCATCTTGCTCTAAGAGCTGGCTTGCACGAGCTGGCGCGGCAGTGCGGAGCCGTGCTCCGAGGACCAGGGGCAGCGGCTTTCCTCATTAAGTCAAGCATCTGGTCAGCTCATTCCCAACTGTGTCCCCGAGTCGATGAGCTTGAAATCGATTGAGCTCGCTGCCTGTCTGGTTTCCTAGGACCCTCTCAGGCTGTGAGGAGCCCTCGTCCGCACCCCAGCAAGCAGCCACCATGGAGGCCAGAGGACTGGCCAGGTCCCGGAGAAGCTCCTTCACCAGCCAGAGGCCAGCCAGGTAACCGCCCAGTCCCAGCCCTCTCCCCAGCAGGGCAAACTGGCCCACAGAAGGCAGCTATGGCACCTCGGGAAACAGTGGTGGCGGGTGGGGACGGGGGTAAAGACAGGGATGGGAGAAGAACAGTCAGGAATCGATCCCGGATTTGGGTTTTCTTTCGGAGCCCAGGGACATCTAAGGGGGGACAAACCACCAGCTTTAATCATCAGTGGTCTTATGTCTGAAAATGATACTGAGGTACTTCATGCTGGAAGAATTCAGGGGTGGGGGGAAGTTAACTGAGGAAGGTGGTCTTGACCTCCAGCGGCAGAAGGGCACTGGGTGGGTAACACACGTCTCAGTTGGGGGGGGGCGAGTCTGAGACAGCAGGCCCTCCCAGGTATGTGTCGAGACTACTCAGGCCTGCTCCCCCGAGAAAGCGTTGGACAGGCTGAACTAGGCTAGGAAGCTGGTCGCCCTTCTGATAGCGTCTGCACCCCACCTTCAGTGCTCGCGCCTCTTCCAGGTCATTTTGCTGTTGGCAGAGCCTCCCAGGAAACGCGTGGGATATGCCTACCCCTCGGGCTACTGCTGCGAGGGGTGTGCTGAGACCCAGCTCTGAGAGGGGCAGGCGCGCAGGCACGCTGCCTTGTTACTTCCTTCTGCCACCGTCTTCTGCGTCGGCCCGATGTTCCTTCCCTTTGCCTCCGTGGGAGAGAACGCTCCCGAGTCTAGCCAGGAGGAGCCCTGGGTGGCGGGCGTGGTTATGTGTTGGGCTACTACTGCAAGGTCGGCATCAACTTGATGGCAGCGCGTTCATTTGGGGATTTGTTTGTTTGTTTGTTTGTTTGTTTGTTTTTGAAAAGCTGGTCATCTAATTGGCTTGCAGTATATCTGTTGTACTAATAAAATACTGTCTTGAGGCCCTTTGGTTGCCAGGAAGAGAACACCGGGCTAGGGGAGGGCTGTGGAGCTGATGTAAGTGAAAGGCAAGGCTGTCTCGCGGCCGTGGGGCCAATGGCGCAGGCAACTGCCTTCTCCTTCTCGCTCCTTAGCAGGTTCCGTGGTCCTTGTCCTGCTGTCTGCTTGTCTCCTCTGTGTCTAGTTCCATGCTCTCTGTCTTTCGTGCTGCTTGTCGCCTCTGTTTCCTTCTCTCTGAAGCCTGTGGACTCTGCTCTGGCGTTCTCAGGCACGCACTGAAAACGGCCTGCGTTGTATCATCTTGGAGTTGAGACACCCATCCCCATCCTGAAGCTCTGAGCTCAGGATCTTGGGTGCTTAGTTGCCGGCCAGCCAATGGACTGTCTCGCTGTGGGTCAGCTGTCCATCTGGTTGCTGTTGGTTAAGACTAGAGGGAGGAGTGTGAACTTGGTTCCCTCCCTTTGGCAGATGGAGGATGTGGGTGAGGGAGGGATGTCCAGAGAAGAAGGGTTGGGCTGGCTCTGGTTCTTGATGTCATGGGCAATATTTGTGTCCAACTCAACCCCGTGTGCTACACAGCAGAACGGCTCTATAGTGTTCTCTTAGCTGCATTCTTCACAGATGCAGAGAGACAGGCCTCTGGAGGCCTCGAAACACCAACGTTAGCTGTCGAGCACAAATTACTTGTGTCATCCAGGGATCTTTGGTCTTGGCAGACCTCAAACTATGTCTACAGTAACATCTAGAAGCATCACTGTACGGGGGATTTCTTCCCCTAGGCAAAGCTCACAAGTGTGGGATAAGGTTCAGGTACCTGCCAATGCATGATTGGCTCCAGGCTGCTCAGACCTGGGTCTCTCCTTTCCTCTCCGGCAGAGATGGAGAGACAGGAAGCAGGGCCTGATAGAAGCTGTCTCCTTTGAAAGCTCAAGCTAAGAAGAGTGTGGAGGATTTGGACTACCTGGTCGGAAGTGCTTGGGCCCATGACAAGGCCCAGTGGAGGGGTTCAGAACAAGTTGCAAAGAAACTTCTGCACAAACCTGGGGAGGAAACGAGAGCTTGTATGAGATCCTCACTGCCGTGCTGTCATGTGCTGACTCACAGTGACCCTGTAGGACAGAGTAGAACTGCCCCTGTGCATTTATGAGACTGTAAGTGTTGACGGGAGTAGAAGGCCCGGTCTACTCCCGAGGATGGCTGGTGGTTTCAAACTGCTGTCCTGTGGATCACAGCGAGCCCCTAAGCACTCCGCCCCCAGGGCTCCTCTTGTATGAGACAGCCTTACTAGAGATTGAGTGAAGAATCTAAGGTGCAGCTAGGTCTTTGTTTCTTTAGAGTTTGCTCTACATTTCATCATCATCAGAACACATGGGGGCTATTTCCTATTTTTCCCTTTTTTTTTTTTACAGTTAGGATGCTTACCCATCATCAAAAAGAGCTCTACATTGGGCAAAAGGGACGAGGACTAGAAAAGTGGACTCATCCCCATTAGAAGGCCCGTGCCTTTGGTGGAGTCCTGCTAGTCAAAGGACAAAGCCAGAATAAAACTGCTCCCCCTTCGTGTCTTGGGGAGCGCTGGTGGCACTGCAGGTTAAACATTGGGCAGCTAACCACAAGGTCAGTAGGTCAAACCCACTGGCCGATCCATGGCAAGAAGAGGAGGCTGTCTAATCCTGTCAAAATGTACCATCTCTGAAACCCTCAGGAGCAGTTCTGCGCTGTCTCAAAGGGGCGCTCCGAGTCGGAGTCAGTTGGATGGCACGCACTCAGTGCCATGGAGTTGATGCCGACTCATAATGACTGATATGGTTAAAGTTTATTGTGCCAACCTGGCTGATGAACACATGTGGGTTAATTGAAGGGCGGAGAGATAAATGGTTTAGTGAGCCTTGCCTTTCTAGTTCACGGGTCTCTTGCTTTGTGATGGTCGGACCAGGGTGCAGTCGCCAGTTCCCTGCTTTAGTTGGCAAGGCTCACTTCCTGCAAGACATCCCTGAGGAGAAGCCACATGGACCTACCCCGATGCAACCCTGGGTGCTGGAGCAGCCGTGTGGAGACCCCTACTAGTGCTGAGATGCTTACACGTTCACTGACTCGGCTTTCCTCCTGCAGTCAGCATCATTGCGTGTGATTTGTGAGCTGGAGGAGGACTTTGTGGATTGGTGTTGGACATAAGGGCTCATGTTAGACGTACGGACTTGGGGCAGCAGTGGATTGGGATGCTTTCTCTTTATATAAATTTATATATGTACACTTACTCTTTATATAAAACTCTCTTATACATATGAGTTTCTGTGGATTTGTTTCTCTAATGTACCCAGACTAACCCAATGACCCGGTGGGACAGGGCAGAACTGCCCCCTGTCCGTTTCTGAGACTGTTACTGGGATTAGAAAACCCCATCTCATTCCCGAAGAGGGACCCCTGGTGGTTTCTAACTGCTCACCTGGTGGATCAGGATCACAGCCCAATGTATAACCACTACGCCATCAGGGGGCCACACTTGGATGGCAGTGGGGTAGTGTGTGTGTGTGTGTGTGTGTGTGTGTGTGTGTGTGTGTAAGGTGGTACACAGAGAAAAGAATAAGCCACCCCGCATCCTCCTCCCTTTTCTTCACAGCCAGTTAAAGACCTGGGCTGCTAGCTGCAAAGTTGGAAAGTTCAGGAGATCACCTTCCGAAAAATCCACCATTGAAAACCTTAAAGAAAAAAAACACCTTAAGGAGCACAGTCCTCCTCGGGCACCCCTGGTTCCACTGCAGAGTAGAGTCCCATGGGGCTCCCAGTCCCCACACCTGCTGGTCTGGTCACCTCTGCTTCTGCCCGGCTCCTGGAGAAGGGTTTTCTTCTCCCTCCTCTTCACACGTGTCCCCCTTCCAGGTTGTCCCGCCTGATCATCTCGCTGCATGCATGGGCAGCCAGGCACTTGCACCATGAGGACCAGACGCCGGACTCTTTCCTAGACCGTTTCCAGGGAGCCGAGCTCAAGGAGGTAACCAGTCGGGAAAGCAATGCCCCGTCCAGCGAGGAGCCGCCTGGCAGAGACAGCAGGTAAGAAACCAGAGAGGAGAAGGCAGTACCCATGGGAAATGGGGCATTTGCATGTCCACTTCCAGTTCCCCGGGTGATGGGGTAGGGGGCGGAGGGACTGGGACACCATCCTCATGAGCATCTCTTCATGAGCCTCATGACAGAGCCTTGGAGAAGGGCTACAGGCAGGAACACGCTCACACTGCCCTCTGCTCCTGGTCACCAAGAAACCCCGCAGGCGAGAAGCCTCCCACCAGCGCGGCCAGCCTCCTTGACCCTCCTACGTGGCTGTTCACATCCCCCAGGCAGTCGCTGTTCTGAGAAGCACATTGGGGGATGGAGAACCCAATGTTTCTCCATCATAGGACACTCGTCCCGTGACTCACCTCGTTTCAAAATGGGCTTGCCATACCACAGGCTTCAGGGGCCTCTACACGGTGCCTACACTTTTACGCATCATGGTCCGTGCATTTCCCTGGAAAGTGACCTGCAGGTTGGTCTGATCTATGAAGGGAAAGAATCTGTCCCCAATCAGTTAAAATGGTATACGGGGTTCTGTGGGTGAGGGTTCGCGGGCACAGGGAAAGGGTTCTTTGTTCGGGAGCCTGACGAACAGCAGCTGCCAAGCTGCTTCTGGTATGCCCACTGCCCTATGAGGAGAAAGACTGGTGGGTGCTGTCAGGCACAAACACCTGCAGGAACCTGGCACCTGATGGACAGAGGTCTCCTACACACACACACATACACATATACACACATACATATACATACATACACACACATGCACATACATGCATACATTTACACATGCACACACATACTGTACACGCATACACACAAATGCACACACACAGTTGCTGGCTTCCCTGTTTGCTTGTTCTTGAGAAGTCCCCCTGGTGAGTAGTCTAGGGAGACCCCACGGGCCACCACGGATTGAGTTGATGATCCCTGAGCAGGGTCTCTTTAGGACCCCAGGGGCAATCCTGAGAGGAGGGGAGGTAAAACAGTGACTCTTGCCCGGAACTGCTTTCTGGGGGGAAAAAAAGAGAGGCTGAAAATATCTCTTTTGGCAGTATTCCTCTTGCTTGAGCCAAGCTTTAGCAGCTGTAAAGGTGAAAACTGCCTGGTTTCTGCAGAACAGAAGGTCCCTGAGTAATTGGTTAGAGAAAATGCTGTTGCTTCTGCATCAAAGGAAAAGGGCCCCGGTTGGGGGTTCTCCAACGGGGCACCCGGGTGCCCACCCACTCCCAGGAGTGGAAGGCTATGGGCCTACAGGGAAAACAAGACGGGTCTCCCAGGAGCTGCAGTTTCTTCTGTCATGGTGTGGGGAGGAGGGAGGGAGTGGGGAGTCTGGTGGATTATATTATGTTATGTAGTATGCATCATGTGCACGCATGCTTAAGATAAAATACGAGGGTTCAGAGAAATTTTTTTGGCAGTAACTCCCATGGTTTAGGAGCTTCTTCACTGGGGAAAGGTAGGAGAGAATGGCCAAGACAGGAAGGCCCCTGGAGAGGCCTGTTCAGGCGTGTGTTTCCACATGAGCTTGGACTGCAAACCCTCCTGGTGTCCCGGGCTGTGAGACGGAGACCTGGGAGGGCCTGCAGGGCCAGCTGTCAGTGCTGGCCAGGATGCACACAGGACCTGCCCAGAGCCCCAGGACCAGTGTCCCAGGCTGTAAGTGAAGCTGGCATCCCATTCCCTCCTGTGACAGAAAGACCAAGGGATGGCAGACAACAGGAAAAGGGCATGGAGGAAGAGAATAGGAAAAAGAGGTTCCCAGCAGACTTTCCTGCACTTTCCAGAGCCCAAGGAGTTCAGGTCCCTGATGGCAAGCAAAGACTTCTTTGGCTCCATCAAATGATCTTCCCTACAACCTTACGCTAATGTAGATGAACAGTAGATGCCAAGCTCATGTTCAAGTATGACAGCACAGAGAGTGGAGCCAGAACCACCTCAGAGTAGGGCTCAGAGATGTCGCCAATGCCCAGGAGCGTTCTGGAAGGTTCTGGGTGGGTCGGTGCAATGCAACAGTGCAGGGTGATAGCTGGTCCACCAGGAAGATTTTCTTGGGACAAAGAGTTGGGGGGCGGTTTGAAGCCAAGTCCCATCTGCAAAACATCTGCCATGGCCTGGGTCCCTGGTTACACGTTGAGTCTTTCTGGGAAGGTCTCCTTCTGCAGAGTCTGGAGAACACAAACGCGGCAAACCCTGGTCCCTGTGCTCCACGGAGCTGGGCTCCCACTCCTCTAACATATCACAGGGCGGTGGGGGTGGATTCCCCCAGGGATTTCAGATCCTCAGAATGAACTCCCACTCTAGCCTCATCGCAGATGGTGAGAGAGAGACTTGAGCCGGGCAGACAGTGGCTGTCAACATGCCACCAGGGGAGATGGTGGACATTGCGGAGATGTCCCTTGGGAGTCAACCAAGTCTCCCTGGCCACTGGCTCCAGTCTAAAGTGGGTGCGCAGGGACTACAAACGGGCAAATGCTTCTACTTCTGTGAGTTCAGACTCCCCAGTGCTCTGTTCTCTCTGCCTCCCCCAGTGGCTGGCCCCTGGCCAGAAACAATGCTAACAGCTGCAACAACTCAGACGAGGTGTGAGCACCTGCACTTAGGAGTAGAGCCCAGCTCGCCTGCCCTGGCCCCAAGGGCTCAGGCCCTACCTATAGAAGCTTGGTCTACCTCCCTAAGTACCCCCACTGCCCACTCTCCCCAGACACCAGTAGGTCGTTCCAGAGTCCCATTTCTCTCGTTGGAAACCCAGCCCTGTGGACAAATGGGGAACAGGTGGTTGTGCTGTGTGGCTTTGGGCCAGTCATTTCAGCTCTGCGGCTCCCATTCTTCTGGTCTGTACAGCAAAGGGGAGTGGATTGGAGAAAGGCTTCCTGCTTTAGCATCCTGCACGTGTGGATCTTTGAACGGGCAGATTGGACCTCCTGGATAGACCCCTGCATGTCCTCCACTGTGATGAGAATGCATGTTTCCCCCTACACTCCAAGCTCCTGTGCATCAGGGAAATGCTCTTCCATTAAGGACAACTCAGCTCCATTCTGAGGGTGGAATCAAGGCAGTGGAAAGAGGAGATTTAACTATCTCCAGAGAATAGCCTCTTGACATGGTGACCTGCTGTAATTACTTTCAATTGCCGGACGCTGAGCTGGCTAGACTTGTTTGGTGAATGATCCTGGCAAGCCTCACCTAAGAGC